CTGTCTTGTTGCCTAGCAACAGTGACTGAGGCATTTATTTCCTAAAGCTACAGGTGGTGCTCCTATTGTTCTTTCGGGTGGTGGGGTTTTACTGAGAGAGAGAGAGACAGACAGACAGACAATCAGAATTTCATACAGTTATGCTGTCTCTTCCTGGGATTTCAGCACACAGGGGTAAGATTTAGGCATTATTTTAATTTCTTTGTCTCATAAAAGAATGACAGTACTTGTATGCATTCATTTTTTCTTTTTTGTGAACACAAATCACACTGAAAAGTTGAGAATGATAGAATCAGTGAAACAGCAACAGTAGTAATTCACAGCAGTACCATTTAAAGAGAGCTTTTTAAACTGCGGTACACGTGCAAAATTGTAAAAAGAAAAATCTTAAAAACCAAAACAAATAGGTGAAGGGAAAATCAGTCACTCAGGGTCAAAACCATCAGGATGGACTTTTCCTGGTGCCTAAAAGAGACCTCTGAGACCAATAAGATTTCAGAGTATGAAAACAGAAGTGACATCGGGTTGGTCCAGGAATCCCCAGAAACTCTGAAGTAAAAGCATAGAGTTTCCAGCGATTCTTATAGTTCCGTGGCAACTGCTTGCCAGTCCTCAGTGGGCAAATCCCCTTTCAGCCATGAGGTTTGCTTCATGACATTTAGCCAGTTGCTCTCTTTTTCTCTGTCTGCCTAATCTGGCTCAAAACGTTATTGTGAGAATAAAATTGAGGGAGGTAAAACTATGTATACTGCTCTGAGCTCCTTGGAGACAGAGTGAGATAAAAACCCAGCCTTGAGTTCTGTTCAAGAGAAGATGCTACCCTCTCCCCTCATTTCCTTCTGCTTTTAGTTCTGTGCCCTTTTACCTACAGGCCTCTGCCCTTAAACTTGACTAGAAGCATGCAAGGGGGCCACTCTGAAGCCTTTTTCCAGGGCCATTTTTGCTTCTTAGCCCATCTCTGCCTATTCCACACATGCAAATGCAACAGGGCAACAACTCCTTGGCCTGCCTCACCCCTTGACAACATACTGCATGTGTGCCAGATCAAAGCACTCTGGAGCTTGCCTTTCTGCTAGGTTTGTCTCCAGAAAGCATGCATCTAATTTGGATAGGGTGAACAAAGCCTATGTTCTTAGCTTTAGAAGGCTTTGTCTGGTCAACACACATTGCCAATCCAATCCAAAGCCTTTTATTGGCATATAAATAAAGATACAGTAATCTAAGTACAGAATCATACAGAGTCAAATTAAAATCGCCGAGTATCATCATAAAAAAAACTCCTAATTCATAATATCATTTATCAGGCCGTAGGGCTATGGCACTGCAGAGAAACTTTGCTGGTATTTCAGTTCTTTCTGTATCTGAGTTATCGAGCAAGAAAAGGAGCTTAAAATCATCAGGGGTCTCTAAAAATGGCCTAATATGGGATATAGAAGATCCCAACGGGACGCCAAATAGAGAGGGCACTGGAAGAGGACATGGGCAACAGTTTCAACACAATCCTTCATACAAGGACAGCACCTGCTAGGATAGTGAATCCCTTGGAATCTGCCAGATAAGATAGCTGAAGGAAGAACATTAAATCTAGCCAAGGATATGGCTCTACGCAAATTTGGAGCTATGAGTTGATAGAGGTATACTGCTGGAAGATTTGCATTAGGAATAATCCCCAGATGTAAGGGAGAACAGGTTCTGTTAGCCAGGCTATTAAGAGTTTGTAGCTCTGATCCCAATAAACTAGATTTTATTTTTAAAAAGGCCTCAGACTCAGAAAGCATATATAAGGATTCTAGGGTCAAATTTAGGGAATTTATTTTGGCTTCGATGTAAGATAGCCATCTGGAATTAACAGATTCAGAAAGTAGTTAGTACATATAACTGAAGGGGTCAGAGTTGAAATGGAGTCGTAACCAAAATTTAATCGTGTGGATCCATGCCTTAGTAGCCAGCAAATTCTGACCGCACTCCAAACACAAAGCAGCATATGGGACACACATAGGTACCCCCATGATCTTTCGCAGAAAGGTAGAGTGGCCTCGTTCAACTGAAATGTAACACACATTGCCAAGAGTGAAATGTAAAGAAAAAGAATAAGTGTGTGTAGTAAATATAGCCAATTAATTTTTTTTAAAAAAATCAGAACAGGTTAGTGCTACTTTACATATACAGAAGATTTGTGGCATACAAGGTGAATTTCCCCATTTCTATTTTGTTATTGTTCTGGAAGGTACTTAAGCACTGCATTCCACTCTCTTAATTCTAAATTCTGGAATTGAAGCATATACAGTTTGCCAGGGCTTTGAGTTCCTCCAGTTCATTTGCAACTCCCTCTCCCATTATGCCTAATATGTGTTGTCCGTAGATAAACCACAGCAAAGAAGCAATATTGATCAGTATAAATGATTGCATCAAGATGGTTTTTCTGGTGTTTCATCAATGCATATAAGTACACCTATGAATTAATAAAATTTCACACCAAAAGAATCCTGATGCAATCATAGGTTTGAATACATCGAAATTACTCATTTTGTAGTTTTATCAAGGTGCATGTTTATTGGGAGGCAGCTGCCTGTCCAGTGTAGGAGGGGGAGGGGAGGAGTATTAGAAGCCACTGTGGAGGCAGGGCTGGCAGGATCACTTAGGTGTTACTGCTGGGGCAGGATCCCTCGTGGCTTTAAGCAAATTATTGAATATGTAAAATGAGAAACCTGTCAGCCTTGGATATATGCAACCATGAAACAAAAAAACCTATATAAATCTCATCAGATATTACTTGTATTTATTTTTAGAAGAAGAGAATAGAAGAGACTGGATTTATACCCCGCCCTTTACTAACCAAAGGAGTCTCAGAGCGGTTTACAAATTCCACTCCCTTCCCCTCCCCACAACAGACACCCTGTGAGGTAGGTGAGGCTGAGAGAGCTCTGACAGAAACTGCTCTTTTTCAAGAACAGCTGTGCCAGAACTATGCCTTGCCCAAGGTCATCCAGCAGGTGCAAGTGGAGGAGTTGGGAATCAAACCCAGTTTTCCCAGATTAGAGTCTGCACACTTAACCACTACACCAAACTGGCTCTCTGAAGATGTTTATTTCTGAAGATGTTTATATGCTCCCTTTTGATTTTATATTTTCATTTCAAAGTGTTGCGTTTATGTATTATTGTATTAATAATTACTCTCACCCATTTCCATTATTATGTCTGCTTTCATTCTCAGTGGCTTTGAATGGAAAGCCAACTCTTGTATTCCTTCTCATCTTCCTCCCCTTGTTCTGCCCAACACCAAGCGATCTAAATGTTCCCCTTTATGGGAATTATATTTACTAGAGTACCTTAAGTCATGGTGCCCCATATGCTGCTGAAACAGCATTCAGTGCTCCAGGGGGAGGCAGGGGAAAGGGAGATATGTGATGACATAACTTCCTGTTGTTACCATGTGTGCTTGTAACTGCATTGTCTGTACTGTGCTAATGCTGTTTGTCAAATGTCTGTACATCTGTGCATTTGGGATAAGGGGTTGCTGTGTGTTTGTATGGCTTGCTTGGCATCTCATGCTTGCGTTTGGATGAGCAAGGCTTGTGCTGCAGAACACATGCTTCCCTGCATATTCCCAGCGTGCCTCTGGACAAAGAAGACGAACATCATTACTGCTCAGTTTGGAAACTTGGCAGAACAACAAGCTTCCCCACCATTGCTGATCTGTGGGAAACCACGTAACTCTTCCTGCTATCTGGTTTGGCATCACAAAGAAAACTGACTTTATTGCCCTTCATGGACCAGGCACAACTCTACAAGTCAAAAGTTGCCAAGGAAACGGCTCTTCGACACCTGGCCACATGGCTCTCCTTTGAAGTTAGGGTAGCATATTTGAATATTGCCCCCTTCCCCTTAATTAGGACGTCACCACTCTTTGACCTATAGGCATAGTAAAGAGGACGGACTTCTAGGGGTTTATGGCCGTAAGCCAAACCCAAAAACTAGCTTTTAAAAAGAGGAACACAGCCTTTGTTTCTCTGGTTAGGGTTAGCTCACCCCTCCCCACCTTTCTGCAACTTAAGCGGCAAAGACCGCTAGCCAAGCAAAGGCTAGCGAGAGAAAACCCCCCCCCCTCCACATTAGGCAACCGAAGTTCTGCTGCAGGCGATCCTCCCGGGCTCTTTTGGAAGTGCACACCAAAAGAGCACACACATGGTTGGCTTTTTCCATCCGTGTGAGAGAAGGATCCCTAGTGAGACCTTTCGGCCCTGATGCCCCACTGAGAAGAGGTATTTCCCTGGAACTCAGATAAGTATGAGCGCTTTCCCTTGAGTTTCACCCCATTGTTTAACTTGCTTTATTATTTTCCTTACTGAGACTGATTTCTGTAACTGCTGTGAACTGAAGGAAGCTTGTTTGATTGTGTGTGAGCATCTGTTTTTGGAGTGCTTGAGAATTACTTAGTAAAGGCAACATTTATTCATTAACTCTAGCGTGTTGTCTCCATTCTTGGGAAATAGGAGCGTTCATTCTGCAAATCTGACCTCTGTATACAATTAGTCATAAAGGACTCAGAATAAACCCACTGCTGTACATAAAGCAGAATTGGGTTCGTGGAATCATCCTCTCGCCGAGATGGACCTTCCACGCGTAACACTGTGCACACTGGAAGTGACATCAGCATATAAGGATGCTGCTGACATCCACCCCTCATTTTGGCACCATTCCCCCTCCAGCCAGCTGAGTGGTGGGGAGTGTCTGCTGTGGGTGGGGGATTCCTCAACCCCAGTGCAGGCCTGGGAACCTCATAAGCAGGGTCAATATTTGGATGGGAGACCACCAAGGAAGGCTCTACAGCAGAAGGCAATGGCAAACAATGTCTGCTTCTCACTTCCCTTCAAAGTTCCTTGCTGGGGTTGCCATAAGTTAGTTGTGACATGATGGCACATATGAACATAAGGAAAGAGAGATGGGAAATTAAGAATTTTGCTTTTTGAATTAATTTCCTTTTTTTGTTTGTTTTTTAGGCAACAAAAGAAAGATTACTGGGTAGAGTCATCCAAAGTTACTGTTTCCTCCTGTGTGCTGGATATATAATTACATTTTCCAGCAAATGTTGCTGTTTAACATACCTCCCTAATTGCATTAACTGGAGCACTGTCGGTTAATGTTATTTGATGGAAAATTCAGAGCACAATATTTAAAAATTTAATAAAATGAATTAATTTGAAAACATAGGACAATAAAAGTGATGTAACCACAATATAATATGAGTGGTTTTACAAAAGTTGTTTTTATGATGTTTGTTAATTTAAATAATCAGTTTTAAATATATTGAAAACCTGAAATTCTTCTATTGTTGTGCAGGATATAAATGTCTTAATAAACAATAAAACAAATAAGAGACATGGCTAATTTTTTTTTAAATCTACTATTATCCCTGTCTTTATTCATTTGACTTCTTGGATTGTTGTCATGTTCCATCCCTTAACAATAAAAGTTATGTAACTACAATATAATATGAGTGCTTTTACAAAAGTTGTTTTTATGATGTTTGTTAATTTAAATAATCAGTTTTAAATATATTGAAAACCTGAAAATCTTCTATTGTTGTGCAGGATATAAATGTCTTAATAAACAATAAAACAAATAAGAGACATGGCTAATATTTTTTTTAATCTACTATTATCCCTGTCTTTATTCATTTGACTTCTTGGATTGTTGTCATGTTCCATCCCTTTCTATTCATTTGACATAAAAGCTGAATCATCTCAGTGCTCCACAGCAGGAAGTTCTATTGACTGTATAGCCATGTGAATATGTTGTCCAATCAGCAAGTTTTACTGCTCCCATTTATTTCTTCTTCTCCCACTGCAAATGCCAGGCCTTCATATCTAATTTGCTTCTATCCCCGTTGAGATGGATTTCCTTCCAAAGTGTCACATTTGCTATTATAAACTTTGTTACACTATAGTCTCAGGATGCTGCAACTGGAAAGCAATTTTTCTCCTAATTCTGTGCAACAGCTCTTACAGGTATCTTCCAAGCAGGGAAAGGGGTTGTCATTTCCCTGTCACTGCTGCAGCTACTAATACTCAAAGTAGCAGACAAAACAGGGATCCCTAGTATGTAATAGCAGAAAACAGCAGAAAAATGTCAAGGTGAAACTAGCAAAGATTAAATTCACTTGAAATGTCTGAGTATAAGATATATTAAGTATAAGCTTGCCATTCCCCGGGGGGGGGCAGGGGTTGCCCGCTTTAGCCCGCTGGCCTGGATCTAGCCAGTGTAGGAACAACAAAGGCCAACAAAGTGCCAGGATAACACCAACGTGCCCAGCGTGATGACATCACCTGAAGGTGATGTCATTGGGCTGGGCATGTTGCCAGGGGGACGCTCCAGCACTTGGCATAAAAACTCTATGGTATCATAGAGTTTCTGGCCAAATGCTAGAGTGTCCCCCTGGCAAAATGCCTAGTGCGCTTCCAGTAAAAGGTAGATTCTTTTTTCAAATGGATTAATACTTTTTATCAACTTTATTATAATAATCACACCATTAATTTTCTTGACACACTGGTATATGTAAATGAAAAGAATAAACTGGCAGTCAAAACTTTCCATAAACCAACTGATACAATTTTTTTATTCTTACCACTCATATCATTTAAGGTCTAATTTGCCATATGGCCAATTTTTAAGAGCAAAAAGGACTTGATCTTCTGTGCATGATAATAGAATGGAAGCAGGAGCTTTAGAAAAGCAATTTAGTGCAAGGTGTTACCTAGAATCTGTTATAAATAATGCTAGAAGTAGAGCTGATCAGGTGGATAGAAAGCAACTTTTACAATATAGGGAGAAACCTGTTCATGTCTTTCAATATGTCTGTTTGGCTAACAATATCAAACACATTATATATAAAAATTGTCATATAGACTCACATCTGCCTGGTTGTAACAAGCCTCCAGATATTGGCTTCTGGAGGGACTGCAATTTGAGGAACATTTTAGTGAGATCAGACGTTTCAGTAGATAAAAAAGAAGGAGGTTCAATAGCATTTAAGGTTTCCATAAATGCAGGAGATGTGCAGTATGCAAATTTATGTTGAAAATCCTACTAAGAATATAAAAATCAAATGCCCTTTTTTTGCAACATGTTAATCCAAAAATATTGTGTACATCTCTATCTGCCCCTGTGGATTACAATATGTAGGCATGTCTACACATTCTATTAGGACACATGTCCTTGAGCACCGCTCAAGGGTACATCATAAAATTGTTCAAGCACCAATGACAGAGCATTATATTCAGGCCAGCTATTCTGCAGAGGAAAAGAATTTTTAATTATTTTTGTGTACCATAATGGACCTCATGTCACCCAAAATATTACACAAATTGTTTTACAAAAGGAGACCCATTTTATTTATGATCTTAAGACCTATGCTCCATTTGGAATGAATCAGAGTCTGGATTATTCTGCCTTTATTTGAATTGCTCATCCTTGTATTACTGTTACTTTAAGAATGATACACCTGTAATCCATTAGCTAAGATACTTTTATGTGGGATGCTGCTGCTACTGTTTGTGAGAACTCTGGGATTCAATATAGCTAAAAGAACGGATAGCCTATGTAATTCTCTTTGAAAATGGGGTAAGTATGTATATTGTCATTTTCTATTAATTTTTTTGAATATTGCAGATATTGCATAGATTGTATGTTATATTATTACTTACTGTTCCATTATGCAGCCACTTATCCAGAAGAAGAGAAATTGAAACGTCTATATACCTAGGATGTTTCAATTTCTCTTCTTCTGGATAAGCAGCTGAATAATGGAACATTAAGTAGTATCATGCTGGCAACATGACCACGGAAATGTCTTCTGACAGTGCTCTTCAGCTTGGAAACGGAGATGAGCACTGCCCACTAGAGTTGGATTCGACTGGCTTTCAAGCAAGGGAAACCTTTACTTTTTATATACCTAGGAAAGGCATTCAGCTGCTTGATTTATGACTTCAGGAGGTCTTTGGACACTTCTATTGCATTTAAGCAAGGAGAATTGACCAGTTGGATTTACGTACATACCTTGTTATCAGCACCTCTGAGCACAAACAGTTATGTTATTTGTATCTCAGTGTTGATGTATGATATGCCATGAGCACATATGATTATATTTGGGAACATTGTATTTGTTGTGGGGTGTGGACCACCAACTCATTAAAGACGTTTATTTGTAATTTAAATACTTAATATATCTTATACTCAGACATTTCAAGTGCATTTTATCTTTGAGGGTCTTCCCTTGGTGTTTTTCTGCTGTTTTCTGCAGCTACTAATACAGTACAGTGGCAACTGGGATTCCACATATCAGATTTCCCTGATAGTGGTTTTTTTAAACCCAGTGATTTAATAGCATTATATTGATATACAATTATACTAAAATATGTATCAGGACCCCTGAGTCCCCAGCTTTTTTTAAAAGTAAGTCTCCAGTCTCTCTTGTTGTGAAGATATACCCCCTCCCCACATCTCCACAAGGAATGATCCTTAGATACGTACTTGTTTAAAATGAAAGCTGGGAATTCAGAGCAATGAGTTCTGCAGGCACAACAATCTTTTCTCAGATGCCTTCTATTCCTGTGATACACATTTCTGCTTGGTGTTTCCACTGTACAAGAATGTAGTTTGGTCGTTGCTCCTGTTATTGATGCAGATACATGGGTCTGCATTTGCATATGCTCCCCCTCTTGTAAGTGGGCAAAAGGCACAGCTCATTTATCGTAGTAGTTCTCTTGTCAACACTGGAGGTACATTAATTTTTGGCAAACATCAATCAGTAATCTGGGTTTCAATGTTGCTAATGTAGCTGGCGGTACTGCGTAAAAGCCTTCCCATCAGGAAGTTGTGCATGCCAGGGGCCTATTCACCACCTGGAATAAGACGGTTTCTTGGACTGAATGAAGCCAAATCAAGATCTGAACCATCTATTAAATTTGTTGAACATCTGTTTGATAGTTTGAACCATGCATTTGAATTGACTGTTGGACTGGGGGTAGCCACTATTACTTAATTAATTTAAGTTATTAGTGATGTGCACTAGCATCAACAATTAGAACTGTGGCCCTTTGGAGCAGCAGTTTTCAAAATGTGAAATTTCTAAATATTTCTAATTCTATTCAAGTCGATACGAAATTTCTCACTAAAACCAAGGCGAAACATTATAAAGGTCCCCTCAGCTGAACAAGGGGGCGGCAGATTTTAGGTAGAGGGCTCACAACAAAGGCTAATGGCCCTCTTCCTCCTCTCTAAGAGAGGGTGCTGTAAGTAGGTGCAGGTAGTAAAAAAAACAACCAAGCAGCAAGAGAACAGCAAATATTTTTCACATCTAGACAAACTCGAGATTTCTGTATTACCATCACTGAGGCTGGCACAGTATAAAAACAGATATAAGACATCCATCATGGCAATACTTCAGCATAAAGTTATGGGATTTCTTTTATTTCTTTATTTCTTTCTTTATTTGTTTCTATCCCACCCTCCCAGCCATAAAGCAGCTTACAACATTATATAACACACAATCGAATTTATACCCCGCCCTCCCAGCCAGTATATTACTCTGATCATCACCCAACAATGAGAGAAGATATTATAACATAGTTCATGATATATGTTGATTAAAAGGTTTGGACTTGGGCTTAAGGATAAGAAATCAGATTTGATGAGATAATTGGGCTTTGAGGTTTTATCCTATTGGTCTGCATAGGGATATTGTGTAAGCCCTTTTTGACTGATACCATACAACTTCTGAAGGCAAATATTCAATGTTTTCCCACATTTCCTTCCATGTTTATTCCATGTTGCCAAACGGGTCATTTATTGGCTTGTCAAATGACAGGGCTGTTCCTGTCTTAGTATATTCTGTGTGGCTTGTTGGCTAGGCACCTTTATCTTTCTCCCCCTTTTTGTCGCATTCACATTACAGTATGCAAAAGATAACCGAAGATAGAATAAGGGAATCCTAAAACGTTAGGTTCTTGAGACAAATTTCTTCAAAACAAGGCGGCCTTCCAGTTGAGAGGGAATTGCAGTTCAGCTGTTTTTTGAACCAGGTATACTCAAGGGCAAACAGTGGAGTTCAATGCAGATTTTGTTAAACCTCTCTGAATAAAAAGAAAATGGCACTTTTGCTTCA